CGATGTGATTTCTTCATGTACGTGTTCATGACCAATCCACACGTACAACGACGTCGTCCCCAATTCAGAAAGCAACCCCAGTACAGCGCTCTTCCCTCCAAAGTACGCCTTGTCCTCTCCACCCTCGTCAAAGTGCCTCTACTCCTGAACGCTAACTTCCTCCCTCCGTTCGCAAGCCAACAGACACAGTAGCACTAGCCTCGATGCCGGCGCTGATGGCTAACATCACGCTCGTCCCACGTCTGAACCGCGAGATCACCAAACAACTCGGGCTTCGTCCCTTCGCCCCCCTCTCGGTGATACACAACTGGTCAAACTCGGCCGAGCTAGCGACGCGGGTTTTGAGATCGGGGTTTTGCGGCCCGAAGATGGCATTGAAGATGTACGTGGGCCTGTTCTAGACGAAGGCGTCGACGATGTCGTCTGGATGAGTGAGCATAACAATACGGAAGTTGTGTAGGTGATCCTTCGACTCAGTAGCACATCCTGTTGCCTGCTTGTTGTGTTCTGAGCGCCTTCATGGTCGCAGTGGAATTGGAGATGGGGTGCTAAACGCCGGCATTGACGAGACCACTAGTGACCAGGAACGCGGCGTGAACGACAACGTCCTGGCGAGACGAGATCGAATGTCTGTGTCGAAAAGACCGGTCTAGAGGTAGACTCCTCGTGGTGATGGAGTGGACGCTGGTGGGGAGGAGCGAGAGGGGGAGGAGCGAGATGGGGATGTCCGCGATTGACATCGTAGGCAAGGCGTCCCTCATGTTCAGGAGCCAGCTCTGCGCGGTGCCACGCTAATTCGAGGTTCATACTCGACTCTACGTAGACTGTTGGCCATGTGCATGTGAGCACCGGGATGTCGTTGAGACTGATGGTATTCTAACGCCGAGATTATGCGAGTGCCCTTCGCCGAAGATGCAGCTGATCTCCCGAAGCTCAGACGAACGTGATCGTGTGCGTCAAGGGTCGAGAACCGATCTATCCTTGCGGGATAGTGGGCACCGCTGCGTGCGTTGTTGCGCGGGTACACGGGAGGAGGCTCTGACTGGAGAGGGATGCATGGTAAAAAGACTTAATATGGGGCGCCAGAAAGTAAAGGTGCATACAAGCGATATCACTCGTCCTTCGTGCACTTTGACGACTTCGAGCTCCCCCAGCCACTCCCATATGACAAGTCCAGCTGCGATGCTAATCTACAGAGGGACGTGGGTTGCATTCGAACGTCTGGCGTCATTGGAAGAATTTGTTGTGCTGTGCACTGTGCCTGCACGTTACGATCTTCTAACACACGGCAGAAATATCAGATCATTCAGGTTCAAAACGGGCACTCATCGTTCACCTCGAGCGGCGCAATATCGATGCGTACATCTATACTTGGACGCATCCGATGTCCTCTGTCAGACGTGCGCCTGCATTTCCGCGATCCGTGCCCATGCACCAATTGCCGCAGGGAAGTCGAAGATTGGAGGAAGATACGTGAGGCCCAGTCCATGTCTCTGGTGACCGACCATCTCGCCTTGAAAAACTCCCAGCAGGACGGCATCCAACCTGCCTGCCCCCAATCAACGACCGCCAAAACGTGCGGCTCCTCCGACCACTACCGGCGTGACGTTCCCCGCTTTATTCCAAGCCCAGGTCAACGTCCACTCAGCCCTCGCCGAATGCGGCCATGCTACCCAAAGCCCCTCTCCCCTCCTCAGCTTGGGCGACGACACAGTAAGGTTTGCTGGGTGCAGGTCGCAGTGGGTAAGCTGGATCGAATCTTGATCAAGGATTCGCCCTTTCGAAGGGTGATTCTCCCCAGATTCAAGGTAAAAGTCCACAAAGTAGTCGTAAAGGCGGGGAGCGATATGAATAGACCAGGCGGCGTGCAGAACGACTGAAAGACGATGTTGTTACGGTAAGAGGCCGCTTGCGGCTCTTTGGGATCATTGCCAACCCGTTGTATAGTGCACGATGCACGTCTTTACCTTGTCGCTTCTTTGGACGTAATTGTTCGTGCTTTCCGCACTGCTCAGTGATGCATTGCATGACGCCTGATGGGAACAATGCATCGTCGCCGCCAAAAGCGCAGGGAGGTCAAGCTTCAAAGTATGGTAACACCAGCAAAGAAATCTGATTTTTCTTG